AGAATGAGGTGGAAAAAGATAAAAAATAAAAAAAATCAGAAACAACGCTTAAGGCAACCTAGCAACCCAGCCCAATTTTGCAATTCCCACTCGTATCTCTCCAATCCCAAATGGCGAAACAAAGGCGAATCGAAGGCCAGCGACTTCGTCATCTCTCCATCCCATCTTCATCCATCTCCTCGAAGGCATTTGGTCATTTTTTTCCTCAAGTCATTCAGTCGTTTTTTCGTCATTCAAATCCGCCACCGGCCCACCACCGTCTTCTCCAGCGAAATCTGCAGCCAAAATTAGGTGAGCGTGATACGTGATTTACATGGGTATGTTGACGCTGTTATTGTGTGTGGATTTACATACACTCTGCCAAATTTTTAGATTTTTGAATTTCCAGTTTCAACCCAAAATCTGAATTTTCAATTACAACCCACCGTCTTCTTGAATTTTGATTATATTTTACTATATGAGCATTTTGATTATGAGTAATGTTTCTCTACTTTCTTATGATTTATATATAATTCAAAAGTTGTATTTCTTTGGATAGTTATTAACCAATTTATCAGAATCTTAAATTGTTAAGAGATAGACCAATGCATTCATAAATCTAGCCTTCAACATTTAGACTGTGAATGTAATTATACACAAATAGGCTCAGGTTTCGGTTTAACCAGTCAACTAGTTTAAAGGTTCTCACATGTATTTTTCTTCATATTGAATAGTTGAAATGTTGTGGCCGTACCTTCTGATGGTAGGAAAAATGATGCCAAATTTCCGTCTTGTGTTTTCGTTTACCATTGTAATACAATGAGTATATGACACTCAATAACACTTGTGGTGTGTTGGACTCAACTCGTTTGTGGGGGGAGCGGATTCCCAATAAGTTTGAAATATGATTTCTTGTGCTTTACTGCTTACGTTGATTTAAATGACTCACATTCCAAATTTTCTTGCTATCATTTCAATTAGCAGGTGCAGTGATGGTGCCATTTATTGCCTGAGAATTAGTTAATCTAATGGTTGTATTTTGTGGAACAGAAGGATTGGCCTCTTTGATGATATTGAATTGAAATTGTTTATTTCAATAATGTTTATCCATTTGTTTGCATGCTATGTCACAAGCACATCTGATCATTAGAGAGCAGAGAATGTATTAGAGGAGTTTACAATTTTTCTCTAATGCTTGCTGCTCCTACTTGTATTTGTGCATTTCCAATTATTTACTTCATTTTTTTCTTTCTTCCAGGGGTGAGAGGAGAAACGAGGGGGAACCCAAGGAATTATGATATTGTGTTGTCTGGAAATAAGGCCATGCAGTTTCAATGGGCTTCATCTTGCAGTCATGCTAATATCCTGGAGACATCGTTCAGTGACGTGCTTAAAAGCAATTCTAAGAAACCAATATCAAAAGGGGGTTGGCATGATTTGTAAATGCAAATGCAAATGCGGAATGTGATTTTGTTCGCCTACGATGTCAAATGTTAATGTAATTTCAGTTTTATTAAATGTTGATGTATAACACTCGTGAACTTTTGCAGTAAATGTTAATGTAATTTCACTTATGAAGTGGTAGTTTATTGTCTATTGTGGATGGGAATATCTGGGCAGCATAACCTCTGTTTTATTTGTGAAATGATTGTTAATCCTAGAAGAAAAATCCCTCACAGTTGTATATCAAGATTGAAATGAATATATCAACAGCATAACATCATTAAAGTTGTAATAAAGACATGAAACTTCAACCAAATATTTGGTGAACATATCACAAGAAAAATCAGCTTGAAGATGCATACATACAGCATTTTTGTGAAGTTTACAACTACAATTCCAGTCAACACTTAATTTATAATACATCTACATATCTCAACTAGATTAATTTTGTGCCTAACTCCATGGTGTGAAGCAATCATTGGGTTCCTCTAATATACCAACCTCCGGCACTCGCGCACCATCTCTTTCTATGATTTCATCATCCAATAATTTTACATTCTCAGACTCAGATTCTACCAAAATAATGTCATCCACATCGTCCAAAATATCTTTCCCTGCACCAAAAATCAGATACAATGTTAATGCTAATGCCGTAATCTCTAATTGATAGAATATACTCATTCCAAGTTATATAAAACATTTCGGGCACAAGAAACAAGTGGTGGGTATGAATCTATTTCTAAGCATCAACAACTCAAGATAACCAACGCGAAGTGGTGAATCAAAATCAACATTTATTACAAAAAAATTTGTTATGCATTTACACTGTACAAAGAAAAAAGACACCATTTCTATCCTTCAGAGTTGGGCAAATCGTTATTTTTAGGTTTTATGCAACTTCACACAAACAAAGCAAGACCCAACCGAGCATGACAAACACATTAGTGTGTATCAGCGCAATTTACTATATGACAAACGGAGGAACAGTTCAAATAACAAACAGGAAAATAAGGTGGACATATTAACACATTGCATTTTGGACAAAATTACAAACTACCTATTACCTTTGTTTATCATTTCTTAGATTAACTCAAGAAAAAGATGGCAGCGCTGGAGCAAAGGTCGGCTGATTGCAGTGGAAATTTTTGGGGAGAAATTTGGGGAAGAGACGTGTTTTTGCTGTTGAGAGTAAAATGAAATGGGGGCCTTGTATTTGGACCCTTTCCAAATGGCTCAGTGGACCAGCTTTTCAAATGGCGGCCAATGAAATTT